CCACTAAGCCACACCTGTTTCAGGGGTGTTCATTCTCTTCTGCTCCATCTCACGAACAACTTTGTCCCTTTTGTGCTTTCTGCCGTACACCTGTCCTGTGGAGCACAGCTGAAAGTGTTTGGACCTCCTTGACCATGTTTCAGGCTTGAAGAAGGATCTAGGAGCATAAAAGCTAGTCTTACTGTTCCCTGACGGTATTATTTGATCTAAACAAAATATTGCCTTTGCCAGGAAACCTACAGTAGCGCTATTACAATTTGTTTTCAAAGCACTCTCATAAAATACTGAGCTTTTAAAAATCTGTCCACTAAGGAAACTGAGCTGTTAGACAATATTTTCCTTTTTTGAACTTACACTCTGTGACAGTGTGCTTTTTGTTTATATTTCCAAACATGGCTTAAGATCAGTTTTAGTAATAAACCATTATTTACCCGTTTTTACATTTGAGTCATTGTCTTCAAACTGCTGACTTTAATATTTGTCAAGACAGCAGCTGAACAGCATGTTCAATTTTTCCTCATGTAAATGGATAGCCACACTAGTTACAAAAGATGTCTTTTAATATGTATTACAATTTTATTTACACCTCTCTCAGTACTTTAATAGTTGGATTAAGTTCTGTTTTTTCTGAAATACTTAAACAAATGATGATTTTCCTTAAATATAAGGAAACACTGTAAAAAAACAGTTGCCTTAAGGCCAAGAAGAGTTGTGCTGACTGTCTGGATGCCTGAGAGTAAGGTGCTATGGGGCATAAACAGCTTTAGGAAATGGCAAATGCTTTCCCATTTGTAAAATGGGTGTGACTTAGTTCTTAGGTAAGAGAAAAGTGCAGTAAAATGTGTGGATCTTAAGTGATGCAGAAGAGGAGGGAAGAAAGGGGTAAAAGAATTAGATTAATATGTAAAGAAATTACTCACTTGGTCTGCTGATCAGTTTATTAATAATTTGTATTTAAATAGGTGGTTGAACCCCTTATTTATTACTGGCCATAAACGGAAGCTTGAAGAAGATGATATGTATAAAGTGCTGCCAGAAGATTCCTCAGAGAAGCTTGGAGAGGAATTGCAGTGGTAAGGAGAAAAATCATTGTTCTTGTTCTTTGTATTTCTGTTGGTGAAGGCAAGAGTTTCATTCCTATTCTAAAATTAAAAGAGGTTGTTGTAAAGTTTAACAAGGTCTACTGTTAAAAATGCCGAAGAGCTAAGAGTAATATTTAGAACTTGTTTACCATGGAAGCATTTTAAGTTTTTCAAGTTACACATAATGAAAATTTATTAGAGTATTTCCGTTATGTCATTTATAATTAATATGACACTTTGCAGAATGCTTGGAAAAGACTTTTCATCAACTGTTACTGCAGTAATCCTTAATAAATTAATGTGAGTCTTCTGGTCTGTGGTAGAATAGCTATGTAAGCTTTTAAAATAAAAGTAGGGAAGAAGTTTTAGGTTTTTTCTTTGTTGTTTTTGAGCACAGACTGAACTGACAGCTGTGTACCCTTTATATATGTGTGTGTACAAATATATGTATGTTGAAAATATGCCACTCTTTGGCAAAGTGGATAAAATGCCTTGGACACCTAAAAGCTTGTGTCTAGGAGGGTTTTTAATACTCTTTCATGGACTGTGTACCAATTCATGTCATCATGAACCCAGGAGGATCTTTCTCTCTTTCTTTTAATAGTGAAATATCTTCCAAGAATAACAGTTTATGTAAATTGTCTTGAACCTTGCAAGAGAGAAGGTTTTTGCCTTCAAATAATCTTTGTTAAATAATAGGAGGAAGAGGTGTCTCCCAATGAAAGGCAGCCCCTGTATTAAGAAAGTGTGGCCATGCTATTTCTTGCCTTTATGCTGAAGGTAGACCAAATCAACTTTCCTGATAGTTTGGTTGGGATGAGAGATTCCTCAAGAAGTAAAAAAGAATCCAAAACCAAAAGGTTATGACTAGATCTTACATCACCCTGCTCTGGCTGAGTTAACTAAAGAAAGAGGGGCAGTGATAAGCTCATAGGAATGCAGCTTTTAACATCTTTCTAGCTGGAGACCTTTGCCAAATTCCACGGATGTGTCTTGAAGCACTTCAGGGAGTTCACTGTGGAGGAGGATGGACTCTTTCCAGAGATTATTACAGTAAAAGCACACACTTTCCGTGAGTCAGGAAATGGTAGAAAATACAGCATGCAAAAAAAAAAAAGAAGAATGGTTTTTAATTCTTTAGTGTACTTGGCCAAGAAGCAGAGAATATAATTCAAAAATAGCCACCTAAGGAAGTAGCCTTTTCTCTTGGGCCAACAAACCCCACGGAATCTACACAGTTGCAGTTCTGATTCTGAAGCATTTAGACAATAACTCTATAATCTTTTTAGCAAAAACGAGAATAAAAATGAGAAAGTTTTGTTTTCCTATCTATACTGTATGCTTCAAAATTGTGTGCCTTGTTGCAAAATAATTTGACTTTCATGCCTTAGACTCATTTCAGCCCTCAAACTAGCGAGATCAGAGGGCCTGGCAGAAAATATTTAGTGTCCAGAAGCAAGGGGAGCATCCTGTCTGACAAAATTGTGCTTTAAGAAGTCTGTTTAAGTTCTGATACTTTCTTGTTAAAATCATGCTTGTTATTACTGTCTTGGATTTTAACGTGAAGCGATTGTGTCCTGCTTGTGGGCAGGCACACAGTAGCGCAAAGGTCTTTGCCACTCTGCTGCTGTAATCCTTGCCTTCAGAGAGACGTGGAGGGCGTTAAGTGCCAAAACTGCTGCAGACAGTTCCCTCTGCTCTTGTGCCATATCTGTTCGTCCTCATCGAAGCACATGGTGGAAAAAAGAAAGGGCCGGACATGAGAAAGGGTTGTGCGTCACAACGTTTCTGGGGAAGAGCAGAGCTTGTAAGAAGATAAAGACACTCCATGCTGCCTCAGTTTACTCCATAGTCAGGCGATCATATGATAATAGGCTCTTAACTAAGGTGAGCAGCTGTCTGATCTGAGAGGAGAAGAAAGAAAGGATTCCTCATCTGCAAATGTGTCAAAAGTGACAGTAGTTAACAGTGGTGACTTGTTTGTGATTATACTAGAGCAAATAGGCCTATAATACTAAGTACAGTGTGTTTATGTGAATGAGAAAACATGACTATATGTTAACTTTTTTTGTTGTTGTTATATAAAAGTGATTGTGGCAATCTGGCTGTAAGTCTGAAAGTATTTTATTCCAGGTAATTGCCTTATGATTTTGCTTCTGTCCTCCAGCATGCCTGTGTTTTGTTTGTCAGGTACTGGGATAAAGAGGTGCAAAAAGCAAAAAAAAGAGGAAAACCACCGCATTTAACAAAAGCCATTATTCTTTGTTACTGGAAATCCTATTTAGTTTTTGGAATTTTCACAATGATTGAGGTAAGTGGTGTAAAATGTCACACAACACACTTCTTAGCTAACAGCAATGTAAAACTTGGCTTCTTAAATTGCATGATACATGCCGGTGACTTCATGCTGGGCTGTTCAGAGAATCTGTAATGTTCATGTACCCTCTCAGAAAAGTAAAACAGAGCTACAGCCCCATAGAGACTGAAAAATTGAGTTGTAACTGTGGGATTATGGATGTGGAACAGAGAGCTGATTTCAGTGCAATATTTTTGAGACATTACAAGCCATTGACTTGCTTTATAAAGCCATTGGCTTTCTTTGTAAGGCTTAGCTGTATTTTATGTACCTGAGTGGGGTGCCCCATAGAAAAAGGGTTTTTTTGCTATGTGTAAATGGCTGTAAAGGAGACACTGTCATCTTTAAAAATGGAAGTGTAATACATATTTGTGCAATTTTTATAACATCAACATTTTTATTGGTGATTGAAAGGGTTCTTTTTAAAGATTCAGCTAAATTTTAATGTGGAACATAGTTCTTTTGGATTATGTGTTGATAAAAATTGGCTTGACATTTTAGAGCACAATAAAAGACAAAAATAATAGGGGGTGTGACTTGCAGCAGTACTTGGCTTTTGTTTGCCCAGTTACAAACTAGGGTAGTGTGGTATGATATGAAACTGTTAATACTTTTTTTCCCCTTTTTTTTTTTCAGGAAACCCTCAAAATAGTTCAGCCAATATTTTTGGGAAAAATTATTAATTATTTTGAAAACTATGATTCCTCAGATGAGGTAGCTTTGAATTTTGCATATTTCTACGCAGCTGCTCTGTCTGTGTGCACGCTTATTCTAGCTATAATGCACCACTTATACTTCTATCATGTACAGCGGGCTGGCATGAAGCTGAGGGTAGCTATGTGCCATATGATTTATCGGAAGGTAAGCAAACCTGTTTACAGGTATATTAGGCATTTGACAGCTGTTTCATTAGAGGAGTTTAAAAATCCAGCTATTTGTTATGTTCATGCTTGCAATTCCATCGAAGTTACTCATTTGTAGAAATGTGATGCATGCTAATATGTATCAGACCTTAAATGTATACAGGTGCTTTTGCCCTCTCTTTGGTAATATGGTATCTGAATGACAGCTTCAGTCCTCCTAGTGAAGGTGGGGATTTAAATTGCCCTAAAGCCTGGGAGGAGCTGCTGATTTTCACCTGCTCGTGTTGTCGGAGAGGAGCCCCCCGCATTGCTGATGGAAAGGCTGCGTGCTGGAGTGGTAGGAGGCTGTCAGCACACAGCAGGAGCGGGGCAGAGCTCCCAGGGGATGCTGGTGGTTACTCAGCCCTGCAGTCTCATCCCCGGGGAGGACGTTGTGCCTGGCTGTCACCATCTGCTTCAGCACTCTCAGTTGCCTGGGAATTGCTTCACTGTCCGATTCCCAGTGTCAGTTGTCCCCCCCCGCCCCCGGCCCAGTTGTGGTTAATGGTGGGATTTATTTATATTTTATTCCAGCGGTGCTGTAGAGCTAGTGAGTTGCCTCCTTTGCGGGTCAGAGAGGCTGCACCCCTCCCTCGGGGCATCCATTAGGTTTGTTCAGGGGAGGCAGCAGCACTGCAGTCCTGCTGCTGGCCTCTCCAGGCTCACAGGGATGCTCGGCGTCTTCACCGGCAGGTCCCTTCAGTATCCCTGCTACTTGGGGGGGAAGAAGGAGAGGAGTGGGCAGAGGAGAGATGGTTCAGAATCAAGCTGAATCCTAAAGGTAGGGTAGAGCCGGTTTTTAGTATCAATTACTGGTTTTACTGTGGGATCACTGGAGAGCTTCATTAAAGCCAACGAAGTGTGAGAAGGGATGTATGTTCAGTAAGCTGTGGTTTCTTTCCTGTCTGCATGTCCTGATCAAGAAATAGCTGTCCTCGACTACAGACGGAGCCGAGGCCACTGTCAGATGTAAAGTGGAACAAGAGAATTATGGATATTGCCTGCAGGAAGGAGTTGAGCGACATCCAGGATGAAATGCTGGCCTTGGTGTGCTCTGGGGAGAGAGCAACCCAATTGTAAATGTCTGCTTCCCTCTTCTGAAGCTGTTGGCAACACCCAAACCATTGAGCCCATTTCCACTTCCAAGCCGGAAGTCCCTGCTGGGAATCCTGGAAGGGAAAATGCCCTATATTTCTAGCTTTAGCGCTGCTAGAATAGTGACCTGCCACTTCTTAGCTCAGCAAAGAAGTTGAATTGAAGGATCAGGACTGTAATGTTTCTTTAGAATGTAAAGAAATCCATGTTATTTTAACGATTAAACATAGGTACCATCCGCTTAAGGCAAACACTTGTACTATTGGTATAGGTCATCTGAAGGTTTTGGGCAAAGTGGTACAGTGAGGAGAGTAAAAATGGCCCCATTGTGAGTGTTGATTGCTTTTCATGCACATATTTATTCTCCTCCCTCTTCTGATACCTTGGAAATTATCCTCTGGGAACTCGGCTCTAACATGGCACACTGCTTTCTTGTACATAAACATCTCTCTAAGGTATTAATTTACTAAACTGATTATCATAACACAGTTTGAAATTCATGAAATATGTATATAGTGATGCTGTTTGTTGCTGTGTTGATATTAGCTTAGAAGCTTGGGAAAGAAGTGTTCATAATGTGCACCCTTATTCCTAGAGATGTGATTAAATGGAAAATTAATCTCCCCTCATCTCATAAATGTTTACTCCTGAGGGTGACGGCTGAGGTCACAGCAGAACATTGATAAACCTTTCTAATCATTTGTCTTCATTATCTGAGGCTTATAGATAGGTCATACTTTCTCTTTATCCTCATATATGCTTTTGAAAGAATCTGGATGCTAATTTACCAGCACTTTTGCAGTGTTTGTTAATTGCTGTAGTAAATAAAAACTTGGATTTGCAAGGATGAGTGGGTTGGATGAGAGCGCATTCTTAATAGAGAACTTCAAATGCTTATAATTCTTAAGTTTTAGACCCTTTTTCATTTCCTGAAAAGTTAAAATCTCATTTGCAAAAAGCCTGCATTCAAACTCCACAATGTTTGGTGATGAGTAAGAAGTATTAGTGATGCACGCAGGAAGCTTGTACGAAAAATGAAAATGGAATCTGTTTTGGCTCACAATCTCATGTTTTAAAACCAAAGGCTACTTATGGGAGGCTGATTTCTTTTTTTTTTTTTTTAAGACTTAACTTTTAGAAGTTCTTTGAGGTTCAGAATAAACACTAAAGTAGTTCAAGCTGTGGCATAGTTGGTTGAGGCAGAAAGCAGCCCAAAAGGTGGCAGGAGTTATTTGACTGAACAGTTATATTATTCATTGCTATGGACAGTTCTCCCTTTTTAATGTGCTTTTGAATTAACTATTCGAGGCAGGGAGAGATTAAAACGCTGAGATGGGAGTACAGAATGCAAATAATGGTTAAAGAATTGAAATTGGGCCTATGCAATTGTATCGGGGGGGGGGAAGTTTAACCTAAGACATCAAGCATACAAACTGCTCCCATTAGTTCATATAATTAAAATGTATTTTCCTTCAGAAAGCGTGCTTGCTAGGAAAATACGTCTTGTATGGAAAGTTTATAGGCAGAAAATCAAGCAGATCTGTGTGCTGAAAACAGACAAATAATTGGCAAATGTTAAAATAAAATGTAAATTCAAACTACAGTTGCTTTTTAAAAACGTGTGTGGCTCTAGATAATCTTTAGTATTTCTTACCTTTGAAGTGAATTTATAACTGTTACGGTCAAAGCAGTATTTAAAGCCACAGCGTACTGGCTTTGGCTGGGATAGAGTTAATTTTCTTCCTGGCAGCTTGTTTGATACTGTGTTTCCGATGTAGTAGAAAGGAAAAGTACTGAAACAGGACTTTTTGGTAGAAATCAATTATATAAGTAAAACTGCTCCTTTGTGTCCAATGTTTCCATTTTCTTCTGTATACTTTGCAGTCTAGACAGGTCCATTCAGCCAGGAAAACCTAAGGCTTATTTCACTTTTTTTTTAAAAAAAAAAAAGTAGTTTTGAAGCAGGAAGGGAAGAACAGACTAAAATTGCATTGCCACTGATGATGGGAAGGGCTGTCTCTTCCCTGAAAAGACAGATCAGTCAGACGAGGACCCTCCTTTTGGCTCAGACGCTTGCTTGCATGCTTCCTCCGGAGCCTGTCTTGGTCAAAATGAACTGGGCTAGTACATTTTGAAGCTGTTTTCCCTGCATGTGTCTGAAATAGCTAGAAAGAGGTCAGAAAGGTGGCTCAGGTGGCGGGTCTGAGGCTCCCGGGCCGTGGGCCGCTAGCGAGACACCAGTGCAGTGTTCTCCTGGGTGGCTCAGGTGGACCTCAAATAGCAGATATGTCTGCATTGTAAAGAAGCAGCGGTAGGTGCTGTAAATACTCCCTGGTGGGCAACTTCTTCAAACGCGCATCACTTGAACTCCTATTGTTATGGTCTGTGGATATCTAACAGCTTTTCTAGGGGCTTATCAACCTCGATCTGTGGTGCGGAGTAAACGTGATAGAAATGTGGGTGCGCTGCGGTTGCATTACCTGCAGGCAGCTTCGTGGGGGATTTCAGATGTGTGAGAGGCAAATGGCTTAAGACAGGGAATGAAGCAGTGATTTTCTCAAATAATTAAATCTTTTGTCTCATATACCCAGTAGCCTAGATTTATTATTGGAATATCAGGGGAGTTTCTTAGTGGAGTTTTAAATGTTTCTGCCTGCTGGCTTCAGTGAAGTTAGGGTTGGGATTCCCTCTGTGATTAATAACCTTTGTAACCCAACAATGAGGTGCAAGAAATTTGAGGCAGTTTGTTTGCTTTGAATAGTACTTTGATGTCTGATATTCTTGTACCTGATTTAAAATACTGTGTCCTGGTTTCGGCTGGGATAGAGTTAATTTTCTTCCTAGCAGCAGGCATAGTGCTGTGTTTTGGATTTAGTAGGAGAAGAATGTTGATAACATGCTGATGTTTTAGTTGTTGCTGAGTACTGCTTATGCTAGTCAAGGACTTTTTCAGCTTCCCATGCTCTGCCAGGCGCACAAGAAACTGGGAGGGGGCACAGCCAGAATAGTTGACCCAAACTGCCCAAAGGGCTATTCCATACCATATGACGTCATGCTCAGTATAGAAACTGGGGGGGGGTTGGCCAGGGAGCAGCGATAGCTGCTCGGGACCTGTCTGGGGATCGGTCGGCGGGTGGTGAGCAATTGCATTGTGCATCACTTGCTTCGTGTATCATTATTATTATTATCATTATTATACTGTTACTATTAGCATTACTGTTTTACTTTATTTCAATTATTAAACTGTTCTTATCTCAACCCAGGAGTGTTTCTCACTCTTGCTCCTCTGATTCTCTCCCCCATCCCATCGGGGTAGGGGGAGTGAGCGAGCGGCTGCGTGGTGCTTAGTTGCTGTCTGGGGCTAAACCACGACATACTGGAACAATATTTTTGAAACCATTAGTGCTTTTCAGGTTAGATTATTGACCAAAAAGGAATTCTAATAATAGCTGTTTGGAGAGGGAGAAGTAGATGCGCACCACCTGAAAATGCAAAGTGTTTTTGAGGAGTGAACTATTTCTGTTACAGGAAAATGTGTAACGTATATTTTTTTACTTGTACTGCAGAACTGTGTTTCCTTTCTAGCAGGTGTAGAAGGAAGCAGGGTCTGTTATCTGCATCTTTGAGCTATTTCAGTTTGGATCTTTGCAGTAATGTTCAGACTATGTATTTCCAGATGTGATTTTTTTGGGGGGTGTTTTATAATCACATACTATTTTCTACTGATTAACTTATTTATTAACCTATAAAAATATTTGCTGTTTACTCTTGTTGCTTTTCATAGCATGTGCTAAACTTCATTTAATATAATTCAGAAATCTTATGATTTTACAAGAGATATTAACTCTGATTTGCAAAGACAGCATAGTTTGCAGTGTTAGCAAGAATTGATAGTGTAAAATGAATGACTTGGGAAGTTTTTTTGTCTTCTGTCGGGAATCTTATTCAAAACTGAATTCTTTCAATTGGCCAAACATTGTCCTGACTTTAATTTGCTCTTCAGATGGAGTTTTCTGTTCCTGTTTTGAACAGATGCTCATAATCATGTGGGGGAGAACAATGCAAATGAAAAGTTATGGGCTCTTCTAGTTTTAATAACTGACTATGTTGGTATTTTCCCATTTTTAATCACTTCAGATGTGAAGATAGTTGTGGCACTTCTGTTCTCGCAGTCCTTCCCTTGACTTTTTTTCTACTCTCTTCTTCAGGACTTTCTTCAGAATATTTAACCTAACCCACATGTTATCTAAGGTTCTTGAGCTGTGCCCAGATATTCTCAGGCAAAAGCTGAGATGTGCCTTCAGTTTTTGCCCCAGTATTGTATTTGTGTATTGAGTCTTCTGTGTATAGGTGTACTGTGCTCTGTAAGTTGTGCCAATTTGAGACTGTTCTGACTTTTTCAGGCACTTCGTCTCAGTAACGTAGCTATGGCAAAAACTACCACTGGTCAAATAGTAAATCTTCTGTCAAATGATGTGAACAAATTTGATCAGGTAAGAAGTATTACAGATCTTTCCAAGGGGCTGAAGAAATTGTGGGGTTTGAGTTAAGAAATTTTTGTTCATAGCTGGTGATTAAGTGTTTCTTATGAACATTTCTTCTAGTTGTTTCTCGAACATCATAGGAAGAGAAATATTCTCTTAACATATGGGAAGTAAACATGCTTTTTTTTCCCCCTTAAATATCTTCCTGCTGTTTTCGTAAGCTCAGAGAAATGTTGGTGCATGAAGATAAAACAAAATCAATGTGGTAATTTGCTTACTTTCTGGAGGTTAGGCACCTCAGTGTACATTTAGGTCTCTGAATCTGCTGCAGAATTCTCACTGGATGCCTCTGTACCTGCCACTGGCAAAGATGCTTCCTCAACTTTGTGTTATTAGGGTTTAATTTTTTAGCTAAGACCAATGGCTAATTTTTGTTTTTTCACTATTTGCCTAGGTAACGATTTTCTTGCACTTCTTGTGGGCTGGACCAATTCAAGCTGTAGCAGTAACAGTACTTCTCTGGATGGAGATAGGCCCATCATGTCTTGCAGGAATGGCAGTTCTGATTATTCTTCTTCCTGTCCAGACCTGCATTGGGAGGCTTTTTTCTTCCCTAAGGTAAGGCTGCATGTGTTGGGTTGTAGGTATTTTCTGTCCTGGGTTTTAAAAATGTGCATACTGGATGGAAGGGGAGTGTTACTCTGAGATCAGCTTCTGTCTGGTGAGGTTTTTTGCATTGTCTTTTATCTTTGCCAGTGCTTTTTGCAGTTGCTAATGTGAGATTTCTGAATTCCTGTTTAGGGACTTGAAGTCATCTGTCTTCCAGACATGCTGAAAATATCAGGTGCTCATTAGCTGTCCAGTATATTAAAAGAGTTGGGCTAGGTCTGTAGCTACCTTGCTGTGGATCTTGGCATAGAATTGTGTAACTTCTTGAGCTTTGCCTTCCTGCATTGATGCTTAGGGAGTGGTTACTACAAAGGCAATACTGTCAGTCCGGCTGTAAGTTTGACTTACTGGGGTGACACGGGAGTTGCAGCAGAAAGCTCTGAAGGTTTTGTGTTCAAAGATCTTGCTCTCTCTCCTCCAAGACAAAGATGCAGAGAGGAAAAAGGGGAAGGAACTGAGAGAGAAAGGAAGAAAAAAATTATGATGGTGGTTTTGATGCCAGCTATGAGGTTTCTAACTGTAAAGTTCTAGGCTATGGAGATATAAAATGAGTTTGCAGTAGTTTTCCATTATCAGACAAATTTAATTTGTTTTTCTGTGACTTGCCTCAAGTGGGAATATTGAATTATCTTCAATGTTCTCACTTCCTAACTTCCTTTTTCTTTTGTAATTAATCATGCTCTACTTACATCATGAGTTTATAAATGGCTTTTGCATCTAAATGGGAATATTTTTGTGTTCCTTTACTGTGTACACATATGCTTAGTAGTGTTATGCATCTTTGTTGCATTTGTATTCAGGGTAAATGGGTTCCTTCTAGCTCTTTGGATAAGTAAAACTTTTTTTAGTGGGTTACTGTTGCTTTCAGGTTGTATTTTAAGACAAGTTTTCCAGAGGTATTGAGACTGGCATTGCCATTGCATGGCTAGGTATGAAGAGAGAGCTGAGAATTACAAAGTGAGAGCAACTCGTAGACTTTCTTCCATTTTTAACCACTCTGATAGTCCTCGGTTGTTATGCTCACGTGCTGTTTCTCAAATAATGAGCCAATCAGTGTTCTCTGTCAAATTCTTAGGGTTTTTTTTTTTTTATGATAAAAGCTGTTTGTAGAACACTTCCAATCAATTCTTACACAGCATTTTCACTGCATGTGTAATATGCATGCATAAGTATGAAGCCACTTCACTGTTGGGTTTTTTGAGTTTTAAGTTTTTGAGGTTTTGAGCTTTGAGTCAGTAGTTAAAATACTTAGCACTTAACTAGTGCCTTATCCATGGTAGTAAGCATTATTATCCCCATTTTACAGATGGGAAACTGAGGCACAAAGAGATTAAGGGACTTGTCCAGGGTCAGACAACAAGGTGGCAAAATCTCTTCTTGAAGGTATGTATTTTAAAAGCTGATCAGTGGCAATGTAATGTTGTTTGGGTTTTTCCCCCATTCATTAACAGCCACTTGTTTGGATGCAGTGCAAGGGAAAGAATTTGTTAACCAGAAAAAGTTTTGCTTGTCTACATGTGCACAGATCTTTGTGAATAGAAATGTATAGTGAACAGAAGGAGTTAATGGAAAAACTGAAATAGATTCCAGCTCTGTAATAATGAGTGTGTTCACATGGCAATTGCTGGGAATCTGCATGGATTTAAGGAAATCAGCCTACGAAGAAGTAATTTAAGCATTAAAGCTTTTTCTAAAATCCAGGCACGCTCAGTGTGGCAGCTAATTTGTGCTATTATTCAGCATTGTGCTTGTGACCCAGTCTTGTAAACGCATATATGCACACCAGTTTATGATGCAGGCATTGGCCTCAGTGCTGTAAGAGTTTGCAGAAACGGACTCAGTATCTTACGGGATGATATACACTGTATTATGTAGTATTGCTTTTACCTGCACAAGTACTAGAAGTTTTACAAAATGCACATGACCTAATATGTTATTTGAGAAATAGTTCAATTATTGGACTGAAGACCATTTTATATGTATTTATTCAAAAGAGCTCAATCCTTTCACTGCTTAGCCATGCAACTGTAATATTCTCATTTAAAGCCCTTTTAATTTTTTTTAAGAGGAAAACTCTGTGGAGCTGTTATGTCAGACATGATTAAAACTTGCCAAATATGCCTCGTGAAAGCAAAAAGGAATTCTGCAGCTTGCTTAATTTAGAATGGTTATTAGTATCACAGAGGGGACTTCGTGTACTTCAAACCATTATATGATATCTCTGAGACTGTGGCTTTTGGTATGTATTTGCAAAATATGCTTTTTGCAATGCGGAGGAGCATAACTTCAAAAAACCAAAGAAAAATACCCCCCCCCCCAACCTCTTGAATATTTTAAAGGAATTTGAAAGAGGATGGTTACTATGATAACATTTCAACAGGAAAACTGAAAAATTGGTTTGAGAACTATAGCCTTTTTGATCCACGCAATTTAAAAAAGAAATCTCTGTTAACTTTATTATTTTGAATCATCTTCAACCTTCTGTTATCTGGAGACCAATCCTGGAAGTTAGGTCTGAAAAGTGACTGTTTCAAAAGATTGCAGGTGAGAATTGTTTGCTGCTGCAGACACATGAACAACACGTGCTAAATTTTGCCTTTTGCAGTGGTGGTGTGTATATGGGGAAGAAAGGACGAGCTCTTGCATTCTTTTAGGAATTGTTTTTCTTTTACTATTTCTTTTTGGAAAAGAAAAAGAGGACTTAGCAAAGATAATCTCGTTCCATGTCAATACGGTTGGTTTAGGCTAAGCTGTCTTCCTCAGTCTTAATAAGAAGCCTTGATTGTATTAGGGCCAATTTCCTACGGTTCTTTCATCAGTTTTCTTGTATAAATATTTCGTAATACCCTGCTTCAGCCATCCCAACATTTATGGAACGTTGGTGCTGAGAAGTTTTTTTTAAAATGATGAGCGGGTGCCTGAAATTCTTAAGTGCTTTAAACATGGGCTATTTCTTCCAGAGCATCAGAGAAATCTTGCAGGGGGCAGGTTAAACTGACAAAACCCAGCCACCCCTTCCAAAGAGCTTGCTTTTTTGCTTTTTTTTTTTTTTTTAAAATAGGATCTCTGAATCTTAACTTTCATTGGTATATACAAAAATAAGTAATTTAGCAGGAAAATGTATGCTTTATCAAAACAAGGCCTACCATAGCTCACTATGTGCGAAGTATGTTTGTCTACATGAATGAATTCAGAATGGTAATAGGCTTTATTAGCATGGTTTAGACATTCATTACATGGCTTCTAACTTTCAATGCTTTTTTTCCTAATGAATACTGTGACTTTATTATTTAATTATATATATTTTGCCATTTGTTCATTAGTGCAAACATAATGTGGGACTAAAATAGATATATTTACTTTAGTGTTAATTGTAATTAATGCTTAAATAATATTTATTTATTAAACAAAACCACATCCAGGTTAGCTGTCCTAAATTATAGCTCATGTACGAAGTAATCTTTGCTTCAACTAGAGTTAATTTTAAAAAGACACAAACGGAGGCCAGTTTCTTTAACAACATCTAAAGAGCCTTATGAAAAGGGTTGTTATTTTGGTGTTTCAAAACCATTTTAAAAAGTAATTTTCTGATTTTTGTTTAGTTCTAAATTTAATATTTGTAATTTTTTTTATTTGAGGTGGGTTTTTTGTACACAGATATGTTGTTTAAGGAATACCATGTGTTTGTGCAAGCTGACAGATAATTCTGAACATAGAATCAACTCAGTTCCCTGAGAACAGGGAATACTGTGAATACCAGGAATACAGACACACCAAGTCTGTCTGCTGTATGTCAGCTTTGAGATACTGTTTTAGAAAGACCCTTTAATGCAATTACAATTATATGAATCCTCTTTACAAGTAAAAGCAAGAACTTCATTAATATGAATATGTTATGCAATTGTAAACAGTCTCCCTTCTTTTGAGAATCTGAGAATTTTTACTTTGTGTTATTTACAGAAGCAAGACAGCTACCTTAACAGATGTCAGGATTAGGACCATGAATGAAGTCATAAGTGGTATGAAGATAATAAAGATGTATGCTTGGGAAAAATCATTTGCGGAACTTGTGAATGGTTTAAGAAGGTAATCCTGGAAAGATACAGCTTGGTATATGATCTATATCTGTTTCCATTTTTTTACATGTCAGTAAGTGCATTATTTTGTGCTTTAAAGTGCAGTTTACTTGAACTTCTCTGCCTTTTTTTTTAAACTTTCTATAGCAAGAGTGAAGGAATGAAAATACATCCTAAGGGAACAGAAAAAGAAAAAAAACTTCCGATATTTATAAATTCTGGGGTTTTTTTAATGCTTCCTTTTCTGGTTGTGTTTAAAACCAACAACCAATAAACTGTAGTAGTTGTAACTGAACAATTTAATCCTCGCAGTTCTGTAAACTAAAAGCAAGGAACCAATAAGCAGACATTTCCCTTCTGAGAAATATATGGAATCTGACTTTCTGTCCTAAATGATAGCATCCTCAGGTAGTACTCTACTTCCCTTTCTGTATTTTGAAGTATTGCTCAAGCCATCTAGGAAGGGTGGAGGGCAGAAAGACAGCAGCTCAGAAATTCCCTAATTGGTCTGCTGGCAAGGCCAGCCGAGTTTGGTATCCTAAGATGTTTCATTTCAGAGGTCCATCAGCATCTGATTAAAACTTATTCATAAACTCGATTTTCAATCAATATTTGCACTTTTACTTAACAGTATAAGAGCATTCAGTGCTAAAGGATAATTGTAGGAGTTCAGGTGCATATTTCTCATAATATAATTTTCATGTTATGTCCCTCTCCAGCATATGAGTAGAAGGTTGGTATCCCGCTGTAGATTCTCTGATTTTTTTTTTTTAAAGTTTTTTTTTTATTTGGAATTCGTTATTAAAGCATTTTTTTCCATTACATCCATGTGCAGGCTTGCAAACTTGCTGATGTTCCCTGAGACGTTTCTTCCCATGCACATAATCCTTTCCTCCTTTAGATTATAGGATCCTGTGCTGATTGAATGTTCTTGATTGATTGAAAGCTTTGCTCTCTTGCATGGAGCCAGAGAGAATGTTTCTTTATTGAAAGCTTCCTCAGTGGGCGTATTCACATCACTAAACTTTAGATTTCCAAGTTCAACACCTCATTAGGATTAGAGGCTTCCTTTTTAATGATGGAGTAAAATAAGCTCTTCCAAAACACATCTTGAGCCCTCTTTTTTTTTTTCTTTTAACTGTGCTGTGGAAAACTGTAGTTAAAAGTCTTAAATTCAGCCAGGTGATTCATTGCCCAGTATTTCCACAGTGGCCCTTGACAGTTGCTAAGACAGCATCTGAACTCCTCCATTGCTCTTTTTTCCTGTGGCTGTTTGTATTAGTTTCTGTGCCTTAAGACAGTGTAGTATATTATATACAGCCTGCAGGTAGGCTGTAAGCAGGCTGTAATTTATCTGATAGTTATGGAGAGTAGCACAAAGAACTTGCTGATTATCCTCAGATAGTGAGAGGATTATTAAGGGTTATTAGAGGGTGGGAAAAGAGTTTCATCCAAGATTGTAGAAGTAATTGAATTAGACCCAATTCAGATAGTTTACGTACAAATGTTCTTTCACTGTACTCCGGAGATCAGAGATTGTGAGCCCTTAAGCTGAAAAAATCTCTTTGAAACTCTTTGAAAGTCTGTCGATTTAGCCAATTTGGCAAGTATAGTGGGAAAGTTGCTTAACTAGTTTTCCAGTAGCGCATCCTGCATCTTTTTCTCTGTTAAGTGAGGACTTAATTTACTTCAAATTGTATAATCATAACTTGAGTTTCTAATCTTAGTATATACTTCCAAGTGGAAGGTAGTCAAAATGATCAAGATTTTCCCTGAGAATTGCCAGAATATTTGGGAAGAGAAATTAGGAAAGGTTTCAGGATTTTATATTCTATATTATTTCAAGCAGATAAAATTAGGGTATATGGGGAAGGAGTAAGTTGCTACCGCTCTCTTGATAAAGAAAAACTATTATTTTAATAAGAACTTAAGCCTGATGGCATCCACATTGTAGATAGTGCAGTAACATTTTGAGGATTGGACTTGATGAGTCATTTAGAAGTGGAAACTGAAATTTAACTGAAGTGGAAATTGAAAACATACGCATCAGCAGCTTTTCAATTGCTGGAGGGAGACTTATGTGTCTGTGCAGTACTTCAATCACTATTTAGCTTGGGTAATGGCTGGCAGAACAATTGGCCTTATAGATCAGTATTTTTTGAATTATAAACCAGAATTCCTAGAGCAAAAGAAGCCAGGAGCAGGGTCCAAATGGGGAAGGATTTAGACTGAGATCAAAAGAAATACTGAAAATCCTGTGATCCAGCTTGAGGAGCAGCAGCTGAATAAAGGCAGATACTTGGGCCATGATTGAACTCTTGATCTTTTGGAAGCTCCCCTGTTTTTTCAGTTGCAGAGTATGTGTTGATCTTATCAGGAGTTTTGTGACTGAACTCTACTGGATTTTGATATTGGAAGGATAAGGAGTTTGTGGGTGCTTGGCCTTTATGTGGAGGTTTTTTCCTCTTTGCTCTTGTACACAACCCAGAAAGATTTGAAGCAGATTAGAATCTGAGTTACAATACTAGTTTGACCAAACCAGAAAATAAAGAGTATTTTGGTTTTCTGTCTCTGAAAAATAATTGTTTTCTATAGCTACTAAGATATTAAATACAATGATTTTCCCCACTCAGTTTCTAAGCCTTTTAAATTCTCTTTTGTTATTTACCATATAATGTACTTTCTTTACAGTTCTTTACATATGAGTTGGGGTGGTGCAAGGGGAGGAGAAAGGATATAAAAGTAAAATCCCCAGAGTGGGTTTCCCTCATGCTGTTGTTGAGGGCAACTGTAATGAGAGAGATTGATGGGATTCTTTATATTTTTCATTTTTAGGAAGGAGATTGCCATGGTTTTGAAAAGCTCTTACCTTCGAGGACTGAACTTAGCGTCTTTCTTTGTGGCAAGCAAAATAACAGTGTTCATGACTTTCATGGCATATGTGCTACTTGGCAATGTTATCTCTGCAAGTCGGGTGTTTGTTGCAGTGTCCCTGTATGGTGCAGTAAGACTGACAGTAACTCTGTTCTTCCCTGCGGCTGTTGAGAGAGTGTCCGAGGCAGTGGTTAGCATACGACGAATCAAGGTATGGTTATTGATTTGAAAGGTATGTCGATTTCTTCTCTTATTCTAACATTGTTTTAATGTCACTGACAAAAGCCACCTTATTTTAGTTTTGCAGTTTGGGATTTTTAATGAAATAGCCTATTTCGAAAACTGAATGTGTTGCTGTGTATGCATGTGCAAAAACATGACATACACTGTAGGCCAGGCTGAAATGTAGCAGAAAAGTGTACGTGCAAAGATGCGTTGTAGACATTTTTGAAGTAAGAGGAGCATGTGTACACATATGCAGATATGTTGGGATTGGGATTTGGAGGACAAAGCAGGCAGATGGGAGCTGTGGGATTCATATTCATATTCCATGTGCACTGGACTACCCTGTCAGCTATAGAGGACAGATGTGAGCCCTAGCTGGTGTCTTGTGGCTGCTCTTGGTACTGGAGTGAAGACTTAAATTCAGTAAGGGTGAACATCAGTAATGCTGCTGGTTTTGGCAGATGGACTTTTTGTTTGGTTTGCTGTGTTGGGTGTGTGTTGTGAATAAAATAGTCACGTTTGCTGTATGTACCAATACTTTAGCATAAACTGTAAGAGCTAAAGACTTAAATGCAAAGTGCATTTTGAATTTAAAACTTAAAAAATCCCAAATTGTCAGGTTATCCAAATACAGAATTAAAGCATGGCAGCCATTTTAGAACTGAATTTTGCAAAAAAACCCAGGTTAATCTAGTGTAGAATAGGGAAAACAAACACTTTAGATGTCATCATATAGCTTTGCATAGTGTCACTATGCCATTTGTTGATGAAAGTAGCTAAAAATTTCCTATTTTATTTTCTTCTCCATGTGCATGAATATAATAAATCTTTTTTTTTTGTTGTTGATAAATTTTCTAACTGTACTAAGCCTGTACAAAACCCTGTGTGTTAAACAGGTAACTTGTACACTTCAAAGAAGCATTTTGTAAAAGTTGATGGAGATGGAGTTAGAAAAGGTTAATGTGTGAAAATCATGACCACAGCAATATTGTAGGCATTAACATTTATTATTACTGCTTAAACTAAACTGTGGGAGGGGAGAGAAGTGCTTGGGATACTGGATGTTGCATATTGTCTTTTCTGTACCCTGTGTCCAGCTGCAGGGCAGTGCTCTTTCGAGGGATCTTTCAAGCTGTGCAGGTTGAGAGACATGGATGGCTGAAAAAGATGTCTTAGGAACAGGAGAATGGCACTTGAGCAGAGGCAGTGATGATCTCTTCCTTTTTTTTTTTTTCTTGTTTCTGTTTCCAGCGTATCCTAGTGGTCACATGATTTTGCTTCTGATAGCTGGCTCCCTTGCACTTATTATTCCTTAAGGATGGTTTTTGGAAACCAGCTCCAGAATTGAGATTCATTGGGCAAAGGATTGTCCTAATCAATCTGTAGCAACCTTGATGCTGTCACCAACTTCTTAGCTTCCGTTTCCCAAACTGTTTCAGGGTTGGACATCTTGCTACTGAATGACAAGACGCTGCCTGACCAAAGATGTGTTATTGAAATGTAAATAAGTGGAGAGGAATTAGAAGAGAGTAGAAAATACAGAAAAAAATATTAAGACAATGGCTAGGTATATTTGGACAAAACTGAAAATGTGGGGTTTTTTTAAGAAGGTGCTTTCCCTTAGGTTTTGTAGAACAAGTGAGGTTTCTGCACTGATCTTAAAGTACGCTCAGATGGGAGAAGGAAGCAGGAGGTTCTATGCTTCAGGTGACAATAAAGAACGATAGTCAGATGGGAAGTAGTAGCCTTTCCTCCATATTCATTTATACATACATAAGAACTGGGTGGCAAAAAGAATAGTGGTCTCGTGTTTTTCACCTAAACTCTCTTTTCCCCTTACCCTAGCTACACATCTGAGAGCTGATCTGCATCTCTTGAAGCTCATTCACTCTTTCGTGATGGAGCAATAGGCTCAAGGTCCCCTTGTGAAACAAAGTGAGAGCAGTTGTTTTTCAGAGGGCTATTTTGGCAGACATGCAGAAGAGAGGATAAGTTTCAGCTAGGTATGAAAGACAGAGGTTTCTGTTTCAAGGACACAGTTTACTTCTCAGCATCCTGTGGATGGTAGCAACTTTTATTTTTCTCTGCATGGAAGATTATTAAGTACAGAAAGAATGGAAGAACGTTTTAAGATAACTTAACGAGTCTCTAAGGCTTAAGTTATTTATTACATTTGAAAGCTTTATTTCTAGTAATTTTATTGATCCCACCCCCCACCCCCACCCCCGTTTAAAATTCATGGAGTTAACCATATAACTCTTTTCCTCGTTTGTACTAGTTTTATTTGAAATCTTCCGTATGTGATAGTGTAACATTTGAGAGTTAAATGGCTAGGTAGGATTTATACCTGGGATGAATGCTACTGCTAGAAGAGAAATTCCTGGTAAACGCAGAAACAAGAGACCGATTCCTTGCTTGTAACTGCCATGGTATTTCAGCCTTCATCTAAATCTGAATCACACTTCTGATGTCTTTTCTCAAGCCACGCCCCCCAGTACTGATTGAGGCTGTGCGTGGAGTTTCTTTCCCTGCCTACCACTCGGTTATCCCCAGTTCTCTTTTACACACGTACCCGTTTGGGCCTGCCTATCTGGAACAGCGCTCAGCAACACTCAACCTGGCTGGAGAGCTCAGGCATGTGTGGCTCTGCACTTTTGCCTTTTGCTGGAGATACATGTATATGTGCGTTGAGTTTGCAGACTGCTGCATTAAAATGCTTGACTTCTCACCGCTCTCTGAAACGATACCCGCCAGCTGGAGTTTGAGCAGAACCTCTGGGGCTGTTAACACCTAGCAGTACTCTTCCTGCCCTTCCATGGCTCCTGGCATCGTCCTTCTGCTTCCTCTTAGTTACTGATTTCTGTAAGTCTTCAGCAGCTATCTCATGTCTGCAAACTGTTAGCTCAGTACTTGTTAACTAGTCTTGGCTTCCAAGATCAAGACCTATGCCTTTATGCTCTGTGATTCAAAGCATGATAGAATTCTTCTGGTTTTGTCTTAAAATTGTGGTAACTGTTATCCTTGAAAGTTTTCTCTAGAGTTTGCCCCTTTCCTTTCTAAATGTTTGGGCTATCTATAATCTAGCATCAGGCAAGGTGTGCTAGAAGTGTGGCTGTGGTACAAAATGAAACTTGAATGCAACTTGAAGGAGAGGTTCTCTGACTGTGATGTAATGTAGAAGTACAGTAGTGGAAGCACAAGGAACCAGTTACATGGGTGTAAGCAGTTGTTTTTGTTAATGCCCTGGACTTCAAAAGGAGGAGAGGTTCAGATAGTGTTCTGCAGCCTGTGACTTGAAGAATGCTTAACAGGGACAGTGGACAGCTTCTTACCATGACCTCATCGTTCTTCCGAGCAAAACAATGTAAGCCTTTACCATCAAAGCAGTGGAATGATAAGGTGTTGCAGTGAGGGTTTCGCCTCTTCTGCATGGGAAGAGGCAGTCAAACAATTGTAAGATTTGTCAGTGTTGCAAGAGACAGGGCGGGTTCTTAAGGTCCGTTAGCTTCAGGAAATCTGTTTTATTGAGCAGGTGGTTGTTGGAGTCCTGTAGTACTTTTATGCTATTAAATCTTCGCCTTTTTTGCAGGGGGGACGGGACAGGGGACAGTTAGCTATTTAGAGGTACACTGTTGAAGCAGTTGCGCATTGCTTTGGAAATGTAATTCCTTGATCACGTTGTGGTTGTTGTTCCCCCCGCCCCCACCCCATAATTAATGTTCTGTATGCAGCTTCCAAAAACATGTGCTTGGGTTCCTTTCCCACTCTCAGTCTCACATTAGGCAATACCCTGTGTTCTTTTATTGCAGAACTTTCTGATGCTTGATGAGGTCTCACACTTCAAGCCACAGCTACATGGTAATAATGAGAATATCATTCTTCATGTTCAGGATTTGACTTGCTATTGGGATAAGGTAAATTTACTTCTACTAAATGTAAAGTATATTGGTGCTGCAGGCATTTTAAGTCTAAAGAGCAGTATGTCTATGTATAGTGTGCTGATGTTTTGTGTTCCATCTTTTGTATATGAGAATCCTTTTAGTATGTTAAGATAACTCTGTAGAATAGTACTAAAAACACTATCAAGTGTATCTCAAAAGTATCTCCTCCTGAATATTATACTAAATGAAAATCTATGTGTTTCTATGTGAAAATACCTCTTGTTATTAAACAGCACTGTATTGTAGCTGAGATACTGTGCTGTCTGTCCTGAATTCCAGTTTAAGTAAGGTGGGCCTTAGTGCGTGGGCTTTTTTCTGTGAACTGAACGCTGATCAGTCAGTCCCATTAGTCTAGAACCAGTATAATACTATACTTCTCATAACAGATTTGAAAACTTTAGAGACTAATCTACATGTATTTGTTACTCTGTGTATTTTAATTGAGACTGTTCAGCTACAAATTGTTCTCTGCTTAAAATGCAGCAAAACCACCAAAATGACTAGAAAAAGGGACAATACACAGGTGATAAATCTGTTATGTCCTTTTCTGTAAGAAAGGCAAAGATTGACTGTTGTTTCTGTTTTAAAACTTCTATTGCTATGGTAAGCAGTAATTTGAGATGAATTGTTGGAGCTATTACGAGCTGCCAGTATTGTTGCACAAGGGAAGCTTCAGTCTCCATAAGAAATGCTGGAAGCTCCAAAAATGAATTTTGCATATAAATGTAATGCAAATAAGACATGTCACTATTTTCCTTTATATGCCCTCTTCCCCTACATGTGCTGTGTCCCAAGGAAGATAAAAGTGTGAAAACCTATGTGAGGATCTACCTATTACTACTACTACTGCTCAGCTGCAAAAGAAAATTGCTCTATTATTGTGCTTTACTTTCTCAGAGTTGTCTCTGTGACATGAATCTTTCTGAGACATTGAACAAATTTTAAAAAATTAATTTATATGAAAAACTTAATGGTGAATACATTCTAATGCAAAATGGAATGTATTTCTTTGTTTTGTTCCCAAACCAACATTGGTACCACTGTTAACAATTTATAGGAAATGGTTGCATAATATGCCCATAAAACACCTTCTTTTTTTTTTTTTTCATGAGTTGTTTATATTACATAAAGCAGGGCAGCATGACTGGAATTACTGGTTTCCTTTAGATTTAAAAAAAAAAGAAACCAACAAGCCACCCACAAAACTGTTAATGTAATTTTCATTTTGATATTTAACTGCAGTGTGCATGGGAGAAGAATAGTTCTCCCAGAACTGTTAAGAGCTGCTCAGAAAGTTTCTCTTACATACTCTTCCAATGATGCAAAATAATTTTATAGAGTTGCTCACTGAGAAGATGATGAGTTCTGAGAGAGAGGAGTTATAAAAGGAATAATAAAATATGCTAGCCTTTGTCAAGTAACCGACTTAGCTTGCTACCCTGACTAGGTTTCTCAAGACTCTTTGGTACAGACACTGTACAGCTGGATGATAATTTTTTTTATTTTTAAAGATTGTGAGCCAAAAGAGATACTAAAAAAACCCCAACAAACCACAAATCCAAAATAACTGGAAGTAAAAAAGGGATTATTAGCTAGAGTTTTAGGAAAACAAGCTAACATGGTGTATTACAGTTTATCAAAAGATAAACAAAACCAATTAATTCATGGTCACACGCTTGTTTTACTAAGGCAAGTATTATCTTGAGTCCCACAGGCTAGTCTGATACCAGCATGGAACTGGGGATCGTTCAGCATGGGTTTTTCATTGATGTGCCTTGAATTTATAGAACAGTCTGTCTGCTCAGCTGAACAACTTCAGATTTAAACTTCAAGGATTTCAACAGAGGCCAAATTCATGCCTTGTAATTTTAGTCACTTAAATGAGGAGCCTAAGTAGTATGGTACTTCTGTGCAACATATGACCTCTGTATCCCTTAGATAGGATGAATTGCTTCCTTCTTTTGACTGTAGGGCGTGTAAGGTCTGCCCAAGCTCACCTAAGGAGTTGCTCGCCTGAAGGGATCATTCTTCTGTCCTTCTGTCTCTGTTCCCTCCCTTGTGATGGTGTTAATGCTTGTATGTACGACCTTGTGATGAACCAGTTCAGAGGGGTAAAGCAATAGAAAATGAATTGCTTTTAATGTGATTTGTTTTCTGATAGCTGAGTCCCATGAAAAACACATCTGCAAGGTTAGGCAAGAACAAGTGGTGGAAGAAGGGAAGTGAAAGACGCAGATAGTTGACGGGGCACAGGGGAGCTGGGAAGTTTGTCGTAATGAGCTGTGAGATGGACTTAGCTGTAATATTAGTCTGTGCTCTAAGTTAAGTGCCTCAGTTTAGTGCCTAAAAATAGGTGTAATGAATTCAGGACAAATTGTCTTTGATTATAAGGAACGCTGTTTTGCAAAAATACCATGCCCTTTAGGTGTTTGTGGCCATGCTGTTGGCTTGCATTACTACCTTTGTATAGGGTCTATGATGTCTTGCAATACCACTTTAATATATAATATTTGGGTAATGGTTTAAAAACTTTTCTGAAATTTGCTGTAATGTTTTTAGGCTCTTGTATTTTTTTTTTTTAAACCTGAGTGTGGGAGGAAATATCTTTGCACTTTTGTGAATACATAAACAGAACCTCAAGAGAGGTCTGAAGGAGGGCCCGTGTGTCTGAAAGCTTATTTACTTTTTCCATATAGACTAATTGATTTAATAAGTGATATTTTCTCTTCCTACAAACTCTGCATTAAAAACAACGCCTTGACTGCCATAAGTTGGTAGAGTTTCCCTGACCTTAGCACTGGCTGAGCACCTGAACTGTGTACTCCGACCGAGAAATCAAATTCATGGTAAAATGCTGATTGGAGAGGGTGGAGAAAAGGAAAAAAGACCCGTTGATGCCACCTTGTGGAAATTAATAGCAGCAACAAAAGTAGTTTTGCAGAGGCGTATAAGTTTGGGTTCTCACAGTGTGACTGATTTCGTGTGTACCCTGCAGTGCTTCTGCGAGGTGGGAGCTCTGATGGGGGACGGCAGCTTTGAGCTCTGGGTACGGTGCTGCCTAACCAAATATTTCTCCTGGCATGAGTGGACACGTGTGCTAGCCCAGCTCTCCCAGCTGTCAGAGGTGTGGATGGATACTGTACCTGTGTCTCTCTCAAATAATTTGAAACGAGTTGTGAGCTTCTGCTTTTCACAGTCCCAGAATTTGGTCATGCGGCATCTTTCGTGCAGGGTTAGGTGGTGGCCTCTTCAGCCTCTTGAGCTTCAAAGGGTGGCTGGAGATTTTAAGCAGTCTGCAAGCTGTTAAGAGGTACACTAGATATTCTTCACCTTGTTCTTCTTGCCTGAAGCTTAAGGCTGGGTTTTCGTTTGGTCCTTTAATAGAAATACTTTTCTTTTTTTTTTTAAATGCATATATGTTTGCATTTTAGTGTCAGTCATGCTTAGTGCCGGCTAAGATGCATGTAAAGGCAGATCCTGTTACAAGGGTGTTTTGCTTTAATGAGAGGGAGCTGCACCAGGCCCTTAGGAATTGCAGTTTAACATAGCTATTAAAGACGTGAGCATCCTTTCTTTTCACAAGAAATAGGCATTTTTACAAGCTTGATAGGAGAGGTGCAAAATGTGTTGGGAAATAAGCTCTTATCAGTAGTGTAACATAAAGGATAGGCATACTAAAAAGGAATATTAAACAAACAATCCTAGTGTAGTATATTTTCACACAAATAGCCCACTGTGTTGTCTGTGAAAAGTCTCTGAGAATCCACAATATACAAGGTGAAGTTATGTAAAATCAAACGGCATTTTTGTATTTTCGCTTTGGATAGAGCCTTGACTAGAGCAAACACAGACCTGGCTTTCCTGGGGCTCCGAGAGAGCTTCAGCCCTCCCTTTTTCCAGCATTTTTCCAGCTACTCTGAGTCGCCGGGCGCGCTGTGCTGGGGCCGCGAATGCTGGTGCGATGGCCGGCAGACAGCCCCTGTTTCCGAGGCTGCCACCCCAGCCTTGTGCTGAGCTGCAGTGAGGATGTGTGGGCTTTGAGGAAGCACTGCTTCTGCTGCCTTTGGCTTCCATATTCCTTGAACACTGTTTCTTCTGCATTACTTGTTTGTGGTGAAGGATCAAGGTCTTTCAAAAGTGTCTGCAAACTACTGAAGAAGAAAACTGTGCCTGAAAATATGGTGGGCCTATGGGTTGCTAATTTATAGTGATTTATGCGCATTGTGTTCTGTTTTTGAAGAGTTGTTTTGATGGTGCGTATTTCATTACTGAGGAAGCCTAACTTTTTCTCAAATCCATAGAGTTTAGAAAGCCCAGCACTTCAACAACTTTCATTTACTGTCAGACGAGGGGAATTATTGGCTGTGATTGGTCCTGTAGGAGCTGGAAAAGTAAGTCTCAACGTTTACTCCATTCTGTGGAGTTTTTATGTGTCTGTTAAACGTGGCTAGAAACTTGAAAATGTACAGTTCCTTTCTGTGTATCACATCAAGATACTGGCATTGAAGAAAGGCAGATATCCTGGGGGTGGGGAAGAGATGGTTAGGAGTTACAACTACTTTGTACGTTGCCTCTAGACTGCATGTAAAGGGTACTAGTGCTCTTCTACTGTTAGCAGTAGTTTGAGTGACAGGGTGAAACAGGCCATTGTGCCTCTAAACACTACTCTGTGATGTCTTTAATGCAGTCAAACTTTTCAATTTTTATTTTATTTTTTTAATCTTTTCCAGTCTTCACTCTTAAGTGCTGTGCTTGGTGAGCTGCCTAAGGACAAAGGTTTGATAAACGTTACTGGAAGAATTGCCTATGTTTCTCAGCAACCTTGGGTGTTTTCTGGTACAGTAAGAAGTAACATACTGTTTGACAAGGAATATGAGAAAGAAAAATATGAAAAAGTTTTAAAAGTCTGTGCTCTTAAAAAGGTATGGTTTTGTCTTTGCGTGTTTTATTTTCATTATCTTTATTTTTAGCTTAGTGTTCTTTCAGACTTGCGGTATGTGATGCAATATATAATATATAGAATTGATTACTATTAGTAGCATGTGAAATAAATCCTGTTGCTTAAGAGAAATACATGTAATTATTTTTGACATTTGTGTGTAAGCACATTCTTGTAATTCCTAAAACTTTCACTAGAGGGAGGTGTAGCTTATGTGAAGCACAGACAAATTGGGGAAAAAGCTATTCCCAATTATTTAATTTCATAATCACGTTTAGCCCTTTTCACTGGTATTATGGTAGGTGTGTGTAAATGCAATAAAAGGTGGAAAACAAATGATCAAGCTAGCGCTAATTGTGACTTCCATTTTGTAAATACCCTATATGCTTTTATAAAAATAAATGTCATGTATATCATGTATTATGCATTGCTAACAGCTATCAAAAGAACCTTAGTGCTATATATTGGAGAACTTGGTGAGCCCAAATAGTTTTATGAAAAAATATTTTTGAAAGGTCTGTGCGCAAAGGAGTTTGTGACATGAGAGATAGAAGAGGGTTAAGCCAGATTTGTCAAGAAACAGACATTTTGCTTGGCAGCTAAAAAGGTTTTATGCAGCATGTTACGATATTCCTGTCAGCAGCAACACAGGTGAAAAGCAGATGGTTACTGTGATGAAAAATTTTTTGCAAGGTTTTTATACATGGTAGATAGAGTTTTAATATCTCCTGCTGATACTCAGTCATACGCTGTTGTCTAAACTTAAGGTTTTAGTGACTTTAAAAGACAGCAAACTGCATTTAAAAAAAACCCACTTCATATTGGATGGTAGACTTGCTTTCATGGTTTTCTTTCAAATGTATGTGTCTTATAAAAGCTGTGAATAAACTTTCAGAGTATGTCTATAGCTTAATATAAAACTTCTGTATTTCCTGAATAGGAAATACAAGAATATGACATGGAACACTGTATAATTTTGTTCTCTTACTCGTAGTCCCAAGCCCCATAAATTAACCAAATTTGTGTGATGAATGTTGTGGTTATTTTTCTTGGATACATTGCAGTAAGAATAAAAATAATGCAGTTCTTGGGGATGTTGGCAAATGGAAGATAATTTGCTGATAATAGTTCAGTTTTATTTATTGTGACAGCTCATTTTGTTCTAGTAAAAAATAATTTACTGTTATACTTCATAATTTTTAGTTTGATTTTCTTGAATCGCCAGCAAATATTCCTTGTAACACTAAGAATAGTAGTGTTTCCCTCTGGCAAAGCTGTAGGAAAAAGTGAACTGTAAGATCTCACGTATTTTTTTCTGCTTTCTTAATTATGCTTTGCTGAAGGTACAAAGTCATAAAGTTAACTGTGGATATTTCATTTAGTAAATCCTTGTATTTTAATGTCAGATGATGTTAATACTTTTCAAATAAGAAAATGTTATGTTTAAACAGCTTTGTTGGTCTTTGAAGTTAAAATTACTTTAAAAAATAAAAAAATCTTGCTATCTGTTCTTTCACATTCACAGGACCTGGAATTACTAGCAAATGGTGACCTAACAGTAATAGGAGATCGTGGAGCTACGCTGAGCGGGGGACAGAAGGCCCGTGTAAATCTGGCCAGGCTAGTGTTTTCTGCTGTTTCTAAAATTTGCAAATTGTCAGAATTTAGTGACTAAAGTAAGCAAATGTAAGACTTTGTGATACTGACTTTTCTTTAAACTTTTTAGAGCTGTGTATCAAGATGCAGACATCTATCTTTTGGATGATCCACTGAGTGCAGTGGATGCTGAAGTTGGAAGACATTTGTTTGAAAAGTATGTTACTGCTTTATTTTCATTTAAAATACAGTTGTTATCTTCTAATTCCTTATAGAAAAACTTGAGAAAGCATTTTTTGGGAGATGGATCTCTTCACAATATTTAATGCATTCACTTTCTCCATTTATTTTATCTCTATTTTATGTATTTGGAAGATGTATAGTTTTTTTACTGTGTGTCTTTCATTTTGTTCTTTATTTTTAAAAGCCCTGTAACAGTCTGTTTTGAAGATATTATGATTAGAATCATTCTTACGGGAATATATGCCATTTTCTTGGGGAAAATGTCAGATTTCATACAAGAGTATTGGGGTTTATGAATATTGGGTTTTATGCTGAGTGAAGAATAATATGGGTGGGATTTTCAATCATTTCTTAGTTTGCTGCAGCATCATTTGCGTAGTAATAAGCACTTAATTCAAGTGGCTAAAGAAAAGGACAGAACTCTCTTAGATTCTTGAGTGATTTTTCATTTTGGTTCTTGAATGGTTGAAATTTCTCTTAGGTAGGTGAAACAGGGAACCGTGACCTGCAGAGTAGACTCTGCAGAGCAGAAATAGAGGAAAAGAGAATGTATAAGCTTACCATGAAAGAGAGAGATATTGGACCTTCCTTCATCCCTGAAGAAATAGGAGAGTATTCATTAAAAGTCAGGTTCCTTTCTCAATAAATTTCCTCTTCTCCATCTCTCTCTTCTTTCAAACTGCCTAATCTACAGCACATAGTGAGTATGAGAATAATCTAGTTATTCCCATCCAGGGTTTCGTCCTTGCTTCTTCATAGCCTGCGCCTCTTGGTATCAAAAGGTATGATCTAGAATTTATTAGAAGTAGAAGGAAAAAATGCCATTGACTGAATTCAGTGGGCTTTCGTTGAAGCCTTAAATGAGAGCATTTTCTTGAGCATACTTACATCCTTTGAATTCCGTGCTCCAGATACATGAATTAATTTGGGGTTGTTCCCTCCTCTCCACCCCTAGACAATCACAAAAACTTGTCTTGCAGAAATGTTCATAGAATTCGCATTGACCAGCATTGCATGCATGTTCTTTTTCCCCATGCAGGGAAGCTTTTACTATTTACATTTGAAAATTGTACATCCTATTGATGTTTGCAGTTTCAAATCTGGACATCCCTCTGAAACCCCATCAACATTTTGTTTTATTTTATTGATTTCTTCAAATGGCTACTGGTTGTTTCTATCAGCCAGTATGGAGTGAGAGTTTTATGATGCATAGGCTTTATGTTCATTATTCTATGCAGGATCATTTTCACCTGCCACGAGTGACAGACGGAGTTCATTACTTCTGTAGTTCACATACTCTTATCAAATTTCTTTAATGCCTGTTGAAGCTATCTAGGCTTTAGCTGCTGCTTTTCTGTTTCTGCACAAGATTGCTCTACAACTCTAGCATCTGACTCTGTCAGTGCCTGAGTTCTGAAAGTGCACCCACCTGAGCTGTTAACATGTCTTTCCCTTAAGTACAGTAGTGCCTTGCAAAGGAGGTTGGGTTGCCTCTTCAATTTATTCTACGTTTCATGTGAGCTGTGACACTGGGAGCATCTACATCCTACTGGAAAACTGGAAGTCTGGATTTTTGTACGTGCAAAACCATAAAAGAGCCAGAAACCATTGCTCTGCTAGCACAGCATATGTTTTGCTGATAAATGTGTGGATATGAGGAGGAATAAGGAGATTATCTTGGAGAATTTGCAACTCGGAAAACTAGCTGGGGTTCTTCCTTTACTTTCGTTTACTCTTCCTTACCAACTCTAGATCAGTTTGAGCAAAACAAATAAAAGTAGAATGAAGGCATTTTGTGGAGAAAATGGACTGGGTGGAGTAGTAGTGGCAAGGAAAACTGAGCAGTGCCTCACTGTTCAAGATCGTAAGGGAGGGCTTTTTTACAAACAGAAGTTGTTTTCTGAGGCCTTCATGGCAGCTGTGAAAGGTGCTGGGGGTAGTGGGGAGAGTATTGTGTTCAGTAGCTCACTTTGAAAAACAAGGCAGGGCATGTTCTTTAATGCTTCCTGAATAGTGCTAGAAATGTGGAGGGGAGAGAGAGAGACAGCACTTGGGCAAGAATGATTTCTTAGAACATGGTGCTGAGGAATGTCCGGGACACCACTTCATACAAGCTGGCCCCAGGAGTCCAAACCGCGAGGCATAAAACAATGGACAAGATGGAAGAAACAGGGCGTTATTTAACGAGAATCTGAAATGGATATTGTTCAGTTTGCTTGCTCTTCCCCTTGTAATTTTATATTAATGTTTAATTTTTTAGAAGTGTCTAGTCTATGTGTTTACGTCTAAAGATAGGTATGTTCCTAGTAATTCCCCGAAGCCGTCCCATCTGTGGATGGCTGGTTCATTACATTTGCTGTTTCTGCCTGTTCTGATCAGCTCCTGCAGTAAACAGTTTAAAATATATAAATACTTTTCAAATGAGAAAGAATGCAAGTAGCACAGCTCCAGCGGGAAAACAGTCCACGATATTATTAGTAAGGGATTGTGTCACTTAAGAATTTCTCCATAATGCAGACAAGTAGTTCCGTGGATGATGGAGCAGATAAAGCCAGTTTTCCAATGAATTCCTCTCTCCTGGTCAGATTCCTTGGGGCCTAGTAAGGTATAAACTGGAGATTCCCTATTTTTATGTTATTTGTAGCCTCTTTTCCTGTGAATTCTCTTGGTAGTTAACAGTAGACATGCTTAAGCCTTTTCCCAGTGGGGGGGCACCAGTATAGTTCTATGTTTCTGTATATATTTGTGTGTGCATATGAAAATATGCATATATTTTTTTATATATAAGTAAAATAAAAATAGCTTTTCATTAACTTTTAAGCAATGTGGTATTTTGAGACTTCTAGTTTTGAAATGAGGAACAACCATACAGGTGTGATAGCACATTTCCTTGTATGACGAAGTTTGGAATAGCCTGTGATGTTCTAAGAAAATCATTCTGTCTGCTTGGATCCCAAGAAATTTCCTGCTCTCCCTGTGCATCTCTGTAAACATATTTCGGTAGATTATATGGTTTCATATCACCTTTGGATAGAAATTAAATTGTGCCCCATCAGTGACGCTGACTCAGAAATGGTGTTTTTAAGAGTGAGTTTTATATTCCATCAGTCTGGAGAAGAGCATCTGTCTCAATAGGTATTGTTCTTCCCTTGTATCTTTTCCAGGGACAGGAGCTGTGTGCCAGTCTCAGTTGATGATCAGCCTGATTTCTTTCTGCTCCTCCTCTGTGCTTGTGAGAGTAGATAGAGTTGCAGGACGACAGTCTGGGAATCCTTTAAATCCAGACCTAAAGTTGTAGTGATATTTGAGAGTGGTATGCACAGGTGTATCATGCCTGCTATCAAACAGAATTCTGCAAATCTGTTTGTTTAGCAGGAGGCTGGTTTGAGTGTATGGTCTTTTGTCTTTTCTCTCTCAACTTTGCCTCTAGGTAAAACTAGATAAAAGCTGCAGAAGGTATCACAGCATTTATCACAGCACAGTAGTGAACTTTAGCTTCTATTCAGATGGAGCGCCTTGGTAGTAGGTGATGGCCTCCCATAGGAACTCAAGGGACATGTAACTGGGCAGTGGGTCATGGGGTAACCATATGTTGAGGCTGACTGGAGAGTCACCTGGCAAGTTGTTGTGTCAAGAGGGCTTTGGAAGGTACCCAATTTGTCGTTGTAAGTCCAGTCGTGTTCAGTGCACTGAACTATCACGATTGCGGATGCACAAATAATGTAGGCACCTTTTGTCTAGTCATGCTGCATGAACTACCACGGCCACACCTAAAGCATCTGGTCGCATTCAATGAGAACTGTCACGGCTAGACCAATGAATCAAAGCAATTTATTAAAGCAACAGACACACAGGTTCTTTGGATTACCGGCGATAAATTCACTGACTGCAAGGCACATGCAAATACCAAAGCATGGGTAACACAGATGCATCAAAAGATATAAAGTAACTCTATATAGAGGTTTTTAAGTTTCCCGGGGAGGCACTTAGCACAACCAAGTGTTCAAATCTTACCCAAAGGTGTCCCAGTGGGGGGGAAGAGAGGCTCAGCCCTTCGACTGATCCTAGAAGTCAGAGTGGTATGCGATGGTATCTTCCCTAACATCCCCTCTCTCTTAGGCTAATGTATACTATTTTTTACCTTTCAGGTGGAGCTTGAGTGACTCTAGTCATACATACTTTGTGATGATTGGTGTAAAACTTTCTCGCTTCACTTTAAAGGTATAGGCTAGGAAAAATTCAAAGCGCAAGCTCAGTGAGGAGTGGTCTCACCTTAGAGGCGGGTAGGTTTTGGGATGGAGGTGTGTTTTGGTATTATAATGATATTATAATTAGCAAAGTTTACCAAAGGGCAGCATTTTGTCAAAAACATGACAGGTTGTTGGCCCAGGGTCTCATATTATACCCTTTCCTATTGTCCTTCTTCATTCATCCATCGTTTGCCCAAGTTCTCGCAGTGTTCCATTATACTGCACTCTGTTCCTTTGGTAAGTACATCTACAGTAAATTGTTTGCCATGTTCTGGCACAGTCAGGACTGTACAGGGACTAAAAGCAGCAGCACTAAGGCGACAAATGCTTCATCTTTTCGTGTCCATAGATAGACCAAGTCTCTGGGCTTGATGGAGTGTAGTGGGGAATCCAAGGGCACGGGAGCTGCCCCGGCTGGGCAGAATGCTTCACAGCAGTCCCATCTGGGGTGCCACACAGAGCCTGGCCGTGGTGTCTCTACACCGCTCCACCCTGCGGGCAGTTCCCCTTAGAGCCAACACACCAGGTTCCCCTGGTGTTGCCGACGTCTAAGGTTGCAAGCCCAGGAAACTTCCATGAAATGAATTCCTTGCATGCCAGCTGCACTCCACCCTGGAGGCTTCCTCAGTGCTGTGCCTTTCCTAAAATTGTGAATCTAAGTTTAATCTCTAAATCACCTCCAGTAGTTACTCCACACAAGTTGACCAGGTGTCCTGAAAGATAG